CAATGCGATGACTGCAATGTGATGACTGCAATGCAATGACTGCAATGCGATGACTGCAATGCGATGACTGCAATGCGATGACTGCAATGCGATGACTGCAATGTGATGACTGCAATGTGATGACTGCAATGTGATGACTGCAATGCGATGACTGCAATGTGATGACTGCAATGTGATGACTGCAATGTGATGACTGCAATGTGATGACTGCAATGCGATGACTGCAATGTGATGACTGCAATGTGATGACTGCAATGTGATGACTGCAATGTGATGACTGCAATGTGATGACTGCAATGTGAGGACTGCAATGTGATGACTGCAATGTGATGACTGCAATGTGATGACTGCAATGTGATGACTGCAATATGATGACTGCAATGTGATGACTGCAATGTGATGACTGCAATATGATGACTGCACTGTTGACTGCAATGTGATGACTGCAATGTGATGAGCATGCTAGTAAAACTCAGAGTTGCAACGGACTAGCCTTGTTCCACTGTTGTGCTGTGTTGTTTAGCGGCAGATGATGTGCAACTGCACTTTGTTCATGTTTCGCGGGTCGGAACCTGGCAGAATCGAGAGCACACTTCCATGTGACTACACTCAACTGTAGCGGCTGTGCATATGACATCGTCGCACACACTTGGTATTGATAATCAAGTGGCAAACTGGTGTGGTGATGTCACCGTTTCGCCACCACATACAAAGCATTTCAAAGGATGACATCATCGTGCAACCTGTATATAGTAGGTTGATGCAGTATAGTGACAGCACACCTTCCTCTGCGCATGCTCTCCCAGTGACAACAACGCCAACAAGACGAGCGAGCACATACCGGTGGTCACGTCGGTGCCTGCGTTCCCGCTCTCTCCCTTCATTGTGCTGCTTCCACATCGCCTGCTCCTCTTGCACCTGTCGTATGCACCAGTCACACACGCGCATGCACACACACACACACACACACACACACACACACACACAGTATGCAGCATGTGGGGTTACAAGAGCGTAACGCTTTATGGAGAGTGATTAGGCCATGATAAACACACGACATTAAGCCATAACAGCCAATCAAATTGACAGTATCTACCCGCATGGTCCACGATACGAACTACTAAGATGGTTAAACATCAGTCCCTGGTTCGAGTCCTGGTGGTGACAGTCAATTGCATCAACAACAAGAAAGGGCACGGGCATGGCTGTAAGTCTGTGTCCTGCGATGCCTGTACTGTAACCCCTGGCGCAGCGTTTGACATTAATTTTTTGATATCATAATATTATATATTTAAGCAGTTGCAGGTGAGAGAATACGCTGCCATGGAAACTTATGGATCGACGAATGAGCTAAAATAGTGTCTCCGTATTTGGGCTTCTCTGGAGAGATGGGCGGCACACCCTTCAGCCTTTACTTCTCCGTAAGCCAGACGAGTTCTGAAAACGTGAGCGCACGCATTACGATAAAGACATGTCAATATAAACTCGGATACTGAGCCAGCATGGATGCAGCTAATGGGATTTCGGTCTTTGACCACTTGGTGGTGGGTCTGATCTACTCACCTCCCACCGTTTAGGCGCTGCATCTGCGCCTTGATCCTAGAGGGTGGTGGCGTTCCCACCGCGGATGCAGAAAACTCGGCTTCCAGCCGAGTCTCACGCGAACCGTGAAATTTATTAATTTATTTACTGAGCCTGCAAGAAATGTAAAACAGAAGAAAAACACATGGAAGGCAACTACCCACGACTATAACAATTACTAAATTATTATCTTGTTGCAGTCGTGGATAGTTCATTCATAACTCGCTCCCATGTGCTTTTCTTCTATTTTACACTACATAGACGAGGAAGTAAATCGAACGCTTTCACGTGACATTTCTTCGTTAAAACAAGTTCTGCCGAGGCTCCAATGCCTCATGCGTTGTGTGTGGATACGCCTGAAGACTCGTTGAAATTCTGTCCCCAGTGAGTCTCTCAGCACCATGCCAATCCGCACGAGTAGCAATGGTCGGTTTTCCAACCACCGATGACAGGCCACTACTCTCCATCATAGCGGCCATGACAGCCATCTCGTCATCTTCAACTGAAGAAGACACGAAGGCAATGCCCAAGGAATGTCCGTCCTGTAACGGAATCACAGCCATTCCGTTCCCCGGGACGCAGGACACAAAGGACAAGACTCGTTTGGTTTACATAATATTATTGACAATACGGAAATGGAGACAACGCTCAAAGGGACGAACAAGAAGACTGACAAAAGGACTCTCGACTACAAAATCGCGCATGCTCATATCACACATGCACGCGACTAGACGAGACAGTTTGGGGAATGCCATCACACAGGAAAACAACACATCATTTTACAACAGTCCATAGTCGCTAGAAAATCATTTCCACCCAAGCCTGGCACATATGTACATGCATAATGCAGCTATGGTCCACGAGTTTGAATCTAGCAGTTGTAAAGGAAAACTGCACTATGCGCCCCTACAAGTAGAGATCTGTGTAAGGCCGAAAAGCGAACACTGATACTATTGCATTTCGTGAGCAGCATGTGTGCACAACACAGAATTTTGCTTCACACCATGCCAAGAATACACAGTGTGACCCTTGTTCCGGGAGCAAGGCCTTACACAGCAGGACAGCTGGAAGCAGTTTCATTAGATTTGTCCGGTCATACCATAATCTTTCATACAGTTTGTGTATGATAGTGGGTACACACAACCTCCTCAGCGGTAAACATGCGTTGGTGGCCAACAAGTTAGTCCGGTAAACGACCTGACCAACCGGACCGGTTCCGCCGGGCCTGCACAGTGCCATACGTGAGTTGTGTGGCTGGAACATGGGGTTCTTTCAACCCCCCCCCCTCCCCCCCCCCCCAGATAAAAAAAAACTCAGTAGTCTGTTCTCAGCCTGCCTGTCCCAAATTTATGGAAAGGGACAGTCTTATTTCAATCTTGTGCACCATACCTTGTTGTGCGAATTGACGTGGCGAACGACATTATTTAGCAAGCCCTTGTCAATTCCTTTCTTCAGCATCGCTGCAGAGTGCTAGTGGACTGTCACTGACTGGTTCAAATATAACACGAGTCGTTCAAGACTAAGAGTAAGACCCAGTAAGAGGTCACTACATTACAGCACGCAGTCCGAGTCGAGTGGTGACTGACATACAAAATCACCGTGGAGCTGCTCCCATTGAACACAGGCATAGCAACTTGCCGGCTATCATTCTACGGTGGGTAGAGTCTAAAGAACATACATAATGTAGCTGCGACCAACTTACTTGAAAGAACACAATAAAAACTCAATTTCAGTCAATATCGAGACAGCTTGTTTGACTTTTTGAATAAAGACAATAAAAAAAGCAAAAACAACAATATTCAATACGTCATGCATGACAACAAGAGTGCATAAACCATGTAAACTGGACTCTTGATGATGACAACCAAGAGTACATAACCCCCGCGGCCCCGGCCCGTAGATCTACTCTTGACGACAACACGTCACGTCGTCATAATAGTGCCCGATATCTGAGACTTTCGACCTTCGGGGCTACGCGACTTTTTTGAGAAAAAGCCAAAACAAATTTGATCGCAAAAAAATCGATTCTGTCACAGCAAACTGCGGAGGCGACAATGGCGGAAGGAAATCGAAGGCGATCCTTGTGTCAGGTTGTTATTGGATTCACAGAGGAGGCCAACCGCGATCTCATCGACGATGATGCATCGTTCTTTGGCGATATCCCCTCCAGCGACGCCAGCGCTTCTGATAGCGCAGATGAAACGATCGCACTACACTTGACACGACGCACTTACCTGTTGACAGCGACGATGAAGAGGACCTTGATGAGTATGATCAGGGGCAACCGGAGCCGGCCACAGCGCTAGCTGCTGCCGCTGTAGGCAGGGACAAGCAACCAGCTATCAAGCTGTCATCCACTGAGGACATCGAAGTACGCCGGGTCGCTGGCTGCCCTTGCGCAGAGAGTCAAAACTGTTTCCTGAGTGTCCCACCAGAAATTCTAAAATCATCGCGAAATTCTACGGAGGTTCTTGGCGACGATGACCGTCGCGTATTCTTGAGTGGCAAGCTGGATGCTCTGGCTAATCGTGGCGATTCAGGACATCACGGAGCACATCATGCTGCGCGATCTCGAGTGACATACCGGTACGAAGTCGGTGGTGTGAAAACGTGGCGGTATTTTTGTATGCAAATTCCGCCAGTCGATACGACGTGCATCAAGTGCAGGCACATCTCGACGCAGGCGTTCTGACTCCTCCACAGCATGGAAATGTTGGTCGTTCTCCCTGGCATGCTGTGTCTGCGGAGGGCGTAACACAGGTACGCGATTTCGTTCGTAACTACGCTGTGGTGAATGGTCTCCCACAGCCTGCTGCACCCAGGGGGCACAACACTCCAGCACCAGTTTACTTGCCATGCATCACTACAAAGAAGCTGGTGCACCAGAAGTACGTAGATGCCGGAGGCACTGTCTCTTATCAGACATTTGTCAAACTATGGTTGAAAGAAACTCCAGATGTTTTGATTATGACTCCGAAGGAAGATGTGTGTGGAGAATGTTCAGACATGCAGTCGAAGATCACCCGAGCGAGAACGGAAATTTCCAGACAAAAAACAGTGGAAGAGTTGAAGGCGCACATGGAGAAGGCGAATGTTGCGCGAGATCATTACAGGGCCTGCATTGCGAAGGCAAAGGATGCCATAGCTGAACAGCAAAGCAGTGAGTTGCAAGCGCCAGCATACGAGCACTTCACGTTCGACTTTGCCCAGCAGGCGCACATTCCACACCATGCCCGGGAAGTAGGTGCATTGTATTTCAAAGTTCCGCGCCGGATCCAGATTTTTGGTGTTGCAGCGGAGGCTGTGCCAGCACAGCACAACTATTTGTTTGACGAAAATGAGACCATCGGAGTTGATGGCAGCAAATGCCATGGGCCAAACTCAGTGGTCTCACTCCTCCATTTCCATCTTCAGCAGCATGGCAAGGGCGCACACGACATCGGTCTGCACGCCGACAATTGCTGCGGACAAAACAAAAACAAAACAGTCGTTGGGTACCTCTGCTGGCGAGTCATTGTGGGGCTCAACGAATCCATCGACCTGTGCTTCATGCGCGTTGGGCACACTCGATGCTTTGTCGATGGCGGCTTTGGGTTGCTGAAGCAGACTTACAGGAAGTCCGACGTCGATACACTTCGGCAGCTAGCTGATGCAACAGATAAATCAGCAGCCTTCAACAAGGCCGTTTTGTTTTCATGGGATTGGAGACAGTGGGATGCATACCTTTCCACTGTTTTCAAGCCCGTGAAAAACATCACGAAATACCAGAATTTCCACTTCTCAGCTGACAAGCCTGGGATGGTGGAGATGTCTGGATCATCGACGGAGGCTGACAAGACCTGGTCGATTATCAAGCCGGATGCTGACATCAGCACATTGAAGACGGAAGTCCTTCCACCTGCCCTGCAACCAGCCGGGATGTCACACGCTCGTGCCGACTACCTTTTCAAGCAGGTTCGTCAGCACTGTCACGAGGAGAACAGAGACATCACCTGCCCCGCTCCTACTGCCGTTGCTGCTGTCGCAGCTACCCTACCAACAGAGTGAAAGCTGGAAAAGAAGTGCTTATACACTCTATTGTAGTCCTGAACTGTTTTCTGTTATTGTTACAACTTGGAAACAAACAGTAGTACTAACCATGCTGAGTTTTCAAATCAATGTTAAGATGTGCAAATCCAAAATCTGACTCCTACTCATAAAATGCATTGCTACATGGTGAATATTGCTCTGAAATCCGTGAAACGCTGTCAAAATACTCTACACAGGTCAGAAATCATTTTACAATGAAAAAGTCATTTTCACCAAAATAGCCCGGAAGGTCGATTTTCTCAGATATTGGGTCTGATATTGGGTCGTATTACGACTCTCCTGTCTCTGCACTCTGCAGCCTACCGTCACTGGCGTCAGTACCGCGTACCGAGTCACATCTAGCAACATATAGTACATGTATACATGTCAGTAGTAGCTAGACCAGTGACCATGGTGACCAGCTAGCTGTCTTCACTAACCATGCTAACTAACTGTTACTTCAGTTCAGCGCGGTGCCAGTGGTCTTCATCATCATGTCTGGCACCTCGGCTCGAGCTTTGCAACAGGATGTGTATCTACCAGGGTGGTGAACACTAGTACAGACTCCTCAGTCTAGTCATGTCCAAGTCATGACCTGATGACCGGCGATAGACCTACGCGGATTGTATATCATGTAGAAGTATGTAGAAGTCGCTCTCCAAACGCCAACGCCGGCAACGGACCAAAGCCAAGGCAAAAACACCGCTGGCGCTGGTGTACGGCGAAAGTCTGAACCGCATGCCGTCGGCAATTTAGTTATACGACACAGGCGCGCACCTGCGCTCGGCCTCTAGTAACCTGGTTGCGTTCCTTGAGGCAACCGGCGCCTCCAACGAACTTACTTGTCCGGCAAGCTATCCTTGCAAGCGTACTCTAGTCAAGCTCAAGCAAGACCGAACGTAAAAGAAACACAAGGCTGTGACCTTGGCAGCGCGCGGGTTCTTCCGACGTTCCTCCCATAATCATTGTGTCGACGGCTAACCTGCTCCGGGAAAAATATGGCCACACGATTGCTTGGTACGCGTCCACGAGGTCGCCAGCCGATGCCTTCGAAGACATCGCAGAAGAAAAGGGAACGGCAGTCGAAAAGTGATCCCTGCTATGCACCACCGACGACCACGGAGGTGCTGAGGAAAAAGATGAAGGACAATTACAGGGTTGGCGGCCTGCCCATGATTCACAATCGTTTCGGCGGCCATAGCCACTTAATAGCATCTTACTACTCAGGCACAAGAACAAACCATGAAGACAACGTCGAGAAATACATTCTCCCATGGACAGAGCCGGGCGAGAGACTGCTAGCGTACCGGAAGGCGACCCGAGGGGTTGCTGCAAATGAAAAAGAAGCCGTAAGCCATGTTAACGCTGACGAGCCGGTACACGTTCGTAAGCCAGTGTCGTCCGCTCCGATCGGCCCTAAATCGGCCAGTGCAAAGTCGTGGAGAAAAGGCGGCAGCCAGGAGGCAAGCACCAGTAGTGGCAACAGGTTCCGCAGCGAGGTCATGTGGTCTTTGCCGCACGCGTCAGATGAAGCGTCCAGATCCCTAGCAAGCGAGGTGGCTGGTGCGTACAAGTCATGTCGTACCTTGCCCGCGACCAGTCAGCCAGCGAAAACAACTGTCAAAAAGGACGCTACATCTGCTAGCAGAAAGCATGCTCTAGACGACAATATTTTATCTATGCCCGTCCAGCTGAAGATATGGGATGATTTCCGTCAGGTGCGTGCACAAAATCAGAATAGCAGCATTCCGGAGTGGAGAGCGAAGTTAGGGAATGGACCAGGAGGCACCAATGAAGCAGGCATGGACAGATCTAACCAAGCCGCTCCGACTAAACCATCTTCAACAGAACATTCCGATGAACGATCACTGCACAATTGCATGCTACCCAGTCATACTCGCTCCTTACCGCTGCCTCGCAATCTTCCACACACACAGCCAATCGTGGTGCTCCGATCGGAAGAGGAAGTGGAAGAACTCCTTGCATTCTCTAGTCAACACAACCAAGTATGTGCTGATGAGCAACGACACAAGAACGAGCAACTGGCCGGTAAAGACCTGATACCCACGCAGCACGCATCTGTGCCACCGGCTCAACTTCAAGCGCCGCCTGCAGCACAACACTACCAGTCGCAGCGAGTCAGAGCCACAACCGTGCGTACGCAGCCGCTCCTTCCCCACGAGCCTGTGAAATGCCGAGGGGAGCAGTCGCTGGGCTTCTATCGCAGCAGCGTTGAAGACGCTACCATCAACCCTCACTGCCACCGGCAGGATGGCAATCTGTTGGGGGTGAGAACACAAACAGCGCCAGAAGGAGCTGTGCACGGCGGTGGTGGTGGTGGTGGTGGTGGCGCCAACATCCCAGCCATACCAACACAAGGTTCTGAAGCACTGGCCAGACGTGAGGAGAAGCTACAGCACATACGACAGCTGAGGAATGGGGATGCGTGGGCAAAGAACCATGGCCGCATTGGCAAAGTGGTGAAATTCAAAACACCCGTAGCAACAGTTGCAGCCACGGAGGATACTGATGGGCACGTCAACAGGTTGATGGCCAGGATTGAAGCAGCACGGTTAGCTGCAGAAGCAGATATATCAAGAAAAGACATCCTGGTTCGAGGCGAGCAAGCAGCAGCAGAAGAAGAGTATGAATGGAACCTGGATGCGGACGAGG